TAGCAGCTGCCTAACTCCCAGATACCTATTTACTGCTATGAGAAGAAGGAACTTCAGGGTGAAAGAAACTCTGCCTGAAACTGTCTCCGCCTCCGTCGGGGGATTGGACACGGTTTCCCTGCTGTTTCTTGGCAAGTTGTGTTTTTCATCATTAGTTTATGCACAGGAAAGGTGAAAACATGAAGACTTAGGGGGGTTGATATTACTTCAAACCTGTCACCAGAAACCTACATTATAAGAATGTCATCTGCTGCAGACAGAAGGTTGTCTAATATAAGCACTGCATTAATGAATCGAAAACAGGAGATGTTCAGGATTCTGAATACCATTTATGGAAGACCAATTATGGATTATGCGGAAATAGCGTAGCATCCTTGCCTCGTTGCACACAAAACTAAGCCCGAGAAAGTTCAGAATTATGCTACCAGACTAGTACCTGAGCCGAGGGGTATGAGGTACGAGCACAGACCAGAGACTAAAGTAGTTAAACCTCACGTTACTGGATGAGAGAAGAAACAGGATAGACATGAATACCACATAGAAAATTCTCAAGAACATGGACTGGGCTGATAAAGACGAAATCATTATAATAGGTAGTAAACGATCAAGGGGCCACAGATGGAAACTAAGTACCCAAATGAGCCATAAAACCTTTATAATTTTTTCAGTGTCATAAAGTGAAAAGATGGAATGCACTACGAGATCAACAAGTGGTGGAGGGCAACTCCATACACAGATTTAAATGTATATATGACAGAACCAATTGCCTCTGGAACTAATATGCCAGTCGAAGGGTTGAGAGGCAGGCAGGCAGGGGTGTGTGTGTGTGTGTGTGTGTGTGTGTGTGTGTGTGTGTGTGTGTGTGTGTGTGTGTGTGTGTGTGTGTGTGTGTGTGTGTGTGTGTGTGTGTGTGTGTGTGTGTGTGAAAAAGAAATTAGTTTGTAGTTAGTAACAGTTGATTAATTGACAGTTGAGAGGCAGGTCGAATGAGCAGAGCTCAACCCCCTGCAAGCGCAACTAGGTGAATACAACTAGGTAAATACACACACACACACACACACACACACACACACACACACACACACACACACACACACACACACACACACACACACACACACACACACACACGTACCTCCACAAGCCCCCTCACACACACATACCCTCACACACACAAACACAATAACAATACCGCTCCACACAGGTATAAACACACCTGAGCGCAGGACACACACACTCACCGTCCCCTCACTACCCCGACACACCGAATTACACCCGAATTACGGCCTCAGCGACCATACCAGTGCTCTTGCACATACCTCTATTTACGAATATATATATATATATGTATCTACGTCCATTTTTGTAATCCTCCATCGCTATACGCTATACAGAGAGCAGATCCGGATATAAGCGGGTGTTTATACGTGCAATTGTTGAGGTCCTCCCACAGTGGTGCCTTTGTGTCTCTGGATAATCCTCTCTCCATCTGTCTCTCTCGCTCTCTCTCTCTCTCTCTCTCTCTCTCTTCCTCCCCCTCCCGCTCTATCTCTCTCTCTCTCTGTCTCCTTTGTGTGCTGGATTCGAGGGCCTCCTGCTATCACCGCGAACACTACTGCGTTCTCGGTCTCCTGATATCTACCTTCTTCGTTATCTACATTATCACCACAGTTATCACTGTTTTCATCATTTTGAGAACATTTTTGGATCAGGGCGGTGGAATCGACCCAACGACCTCGGACCTCTCAGACACACATATTACCCACTGGATGTTAACAATAACACCACCTGGAATCCGCTCGAACTCATAAGTAAAATTTCAGGCCTATTCATCATCTTCATTATTACTAATCATCATCTAAATCCCACTAATCACCATCTGAAGCATCATTATCATCACAAAGGCTCATTTAAATCATCTTCATCATAATTTTTCATCTCTAATCATCTATTGACTCATTTTCATCATCGTCATTGCCGCCTAGTTTCATATATGGGAGATATATGATGTAATCATCATATATCATGATCTAAATGGGGCCTAACCAGATCATATATATTAGGATATATATATACTTCATGATTCATATATATTCATATATATATATATATATATATATATATATATATATATATATATATATATATATATATATATATATATATATATATGATTCATATATGATGATAACACCACTATCATAATCACGATGATTTCTAAAACATTTTCTTAACAACCTTCATTTATGTCATCATCTTCAGCTACTCGATTTATTTTATCATTATTCAATCAGTATTACTCATTACTATATTCATATCAGAATTATTGCCCGTAAGTATAATAAATTTTTCCATGACACAGGTATCTTAATTAGTTCACAATATGTGACTTATATTGTCTCTCATGAGACATGTGTCTTAATAGTGTCTCAAGTTCTTCAAAAACCTTATGTTTTTCTTACGGCCTAGCGTGAGAAAAGGGGAAAGTGTTAGTTAAGGGAAAAGTCCCATTTTAATGGGGAAAGTCATATACCGAGAATATGTGAGTAAAATGTGTCCTGGCCTGAAGGGGTTGGGGCTTATGGAACTTAAACCTCCAAAGAGAGCTCTGGTTACTGCACCAGACTGCTTGCTACTCGCGTACAGGTGGACAACGTTCCCCAACCACTCTCTGCTGGAACAGACAACCGACCTCAGCAGCCAAACTCCCGTTATCGTCGGTCGACCAGCAATGAACTCTGGAGGGCTTGAAGTTTTGTACACCCTGTACGCCTCTTGATCTTAGAGAGGTGTTCAACATCACATATCTAGGGGTGCGGCTCCAATACTGGCCTCGGTCTCTTGTGTAAACACCCTATTTGAGCCGCCATGACTCCCCACTCTCTCCTTGTTTGGCATGATCTCCTAAATTCCTCTTTTACGGATTAGTATTCTCTGACAACCTGTCCACAGCTGTGATCCTCTCTCTCTCTCTCTCTCTCTCTCTCTCTCTCTCTCTCTCTCTCTCTCTCTCTCTCTCTCTCTCTCTCTCTCTCTCCTGCTTTCTGGGAAGCCTCACAAGGACAAGAGCAAAAGCCAGATAACAATACACATTTAATGAACAAAAGAACATACACAATACATGATAAAACAAGATGAAATATTAACATACAATACTCTATCCTGCTATAACCTGGTAGCAATCCAATATCATATCCTGACTTCACAAACCGTCCATATCAAGTGGCTGCTCAACTCTTGGCTTATCACTTACTATTCCCTCACTAAGTCGGGATTGCAATATTGTCACAACACTATTGTACAATCAGCTCTAAAAGTATATAAGACTCAGCTTGAGGCTGAAACACCACTTGTCACAACAATACTGTACTCAGTCCTGAGAGCATATAAACCTCAGCCAATGGCTGAAACACCAGAAACATCTGCATAAATATTCCTCCAACACAAAAAGAAATCAACCTCTCACCTCATATTGCGTCTAACATGTCAATAAGTAGTCAAGCACTCCCTTTATAGTGTCTATAAATAGACATCTATCGGAGAGGCTACGGGATCCAGTAAGTTCAGTAGAACTTCGGTTTCAACCCTTTTAACCCTGTCGTAGCTCAGTCGATTAAGGCAGTGTCTGGGATGCTCCCGGACGCAGGTTCGAATCCTCGTCACGGCCCTTGTGGATTTGTTCACTCCCTTTATACACTATGTGTGATCACCATGAACCTCTGTTCTGCTCCTAGAGGCTCACTACCATGTATATCTCTAGGTTTTCCAAAATATTCCAAAAAGGCTCTTCTGCAGTCCTCCCAAACTGCTACACAATGAAGTTCTCATCAAACACCAGTGATGCTTCACTACTGATCCCACAGACACGTGAAACTCCTCTTCACTGGTCCTTTACACTGCTTGAGGTCAGCTCCTCACCATACAGTTCTGCTCTCCCACAGAGATCAGCATACACTTCTCCAGCCTCGAAGTTTCCTCAATAAACTTTTTCCCTGGGCATGAAGTTCTTCCATCAACTCCTCCCCAAACAAACCTGCAATTTCCATTGCCATGCCAATAAAAGTGTTTCCCAACTAAAACATAATTGAATGTATTCACAGAAAATAAAACTCCACGATCCGACATCTCCTTAAACTATTGCGTCGCCGCAACGGTCCTCCCCTATCTTGGGCGGGTCCATTTGGGACTGCTGGCAGCCGCCCTGGTCGCGAGGCTGTCTCACTCAGTCAGCCACTGGCCTCTGGAGAGGGTGGACGTGTCACTCCGCCCTCTAGGATGTTCCTCTATCTCTATAGTCTCTTATTTCAGCTCACTGCCTTAATAAAACATATATACTATTCATAAACACTTGCCATGATCGCTGGGCACACGATCAAACACTGGCAACCACTGCAACAACTGTAATATTAGCTTACCGTAGAATTCATCTGTCGAGGGCGCTCAGATCAGCTGCGGCTCCAAGATGTCGTCCCCTCTGACATCCAAGCAGGTCTCTCTTTAGACTGCCTCGAAGCTCTTCTGCTCTTGACTTGAGCACATTAAGTCGTCCACAGGCTTCACACAAACGCCTGCTTGATTACCTCCTCTTGAAGGGGCACACAACTAGGGGTTCCTCCTTCTCTGCTCAAACACAGTACAACCCTCTCTCACGCCCTCTGTTGCTCAAATGAGGTCAAGACGTCCTCAGCGAACCTCACACCTTGTCAGCAAGGTATTGACATCTCATGTCATGTCACTTATTTACATGTTCATCCACTACCCATGCTTTTAAGCTATTCATCAAAACTTGTCGTGCATTTATGAATATATATTCATATATCTACACTTCCTCTGACCTCACAATCAGGTCCAGATTGATGAATAACTCTCAGTGGGGTTAACAAATGCCAATAAAATATCGCAAGGCAGAGAGGTAATAAGGCAAGAACATTCTTGCCTTATTACATCTAAAATTACACCTTATTATCTAAAGCATATTCCTCATTTTCTCTCTCTCACAGATGGGTAAAAGCAGCGACCGGAAGGTGACCCTGAAGGAGGTGTCGCTCAAGACATCGGGCAAGTACAAATGTGAAGTGTCGGCCGAGTCCCCATCCTTCCATACTGACTCTGGCGCCGGCGAGCTCCTTGTCGTCCGTGAGTAACCTCTTGTTGTTTGTGAGGTATCTGTTGTTGTTTGTGAGTTACCTGTTGTTGTTTGTGAGGTATCTGTTGTTGTTTGTGAGGTATCTGTTGTTGTTTGTGAGTTACCTGTTATTGTTTGTGAGGTATCTGTTGTTTGTGAGGTATCTGTTGTTGTTTGTGAGTTACCTGTTGTTGTTTGTGAGGTATCTGTTGTTGTTTGTGAGGTATCTGTTGTTGTTTCTGAGTTACCTGTTGCTGCTTGTGAGTTACCTGCCGTTCTTTGTGAGCTAATGGTCATTGTTTGTGATTCCTGGCGTTGTTTGCGAGTTACCTGTCTTTGTGATACCTGTTGTTGTTTGTGATACCTGTAGTTGTTTTTTAGTTATTTGTTGTTGCTTGCGAGATACTTATCGTTATTTGAGTTACATGTCGTTGTTTGTGTTACCTCTATTTGCTTATGTTTCCTGTCGTTGTTTGAGTTATCTGTCGTTATTTCTGGTAAATGTTATTGAGTATATTACCTATTGTTGTTGCCTGTGTTCTACTCCTATAGAGCCTGTGTTCTACTCCTATAGAGCCTGTGTTCTACTCCTATAGAGCCTGTGTTCTACTCCTATAGAGCCTGTGTTCCACTCCTATAGAGCCTGTGTTCTACTCCTATAGAGCCTGTGTTCTACTCCTATAGAGCCTGTGTTCTACTCCTATAGAGCCTGTGTTCTACTCCTATAGAGCCTGTGTTCTACTCCTATAGAGCCTGTGTTCTACTCCTATAGAGCCTGTGTTCTACTCCTATAGAGCCTGTGTTCTACTCCTATAGAGCCTGTGTTCCACTCCTATAGAGCCTGTGTTCTACTCCTATAGAGCCTGTGTTCTACTCCTATAGAGCCTGTGTTCTACTCCTATAGAGCCTGTGTTCTACTCCTATAGAGCCTGTGTTCTACTCCTATAGAGCCTGTGTTCTACTCCTATAGAGCCTGTGTTCTACTCCTATAGAGCCTGTGTTTAACCTTATCGTCGCTCCACACTCAAAGGGCTTCAGTGCTCGCGACATGCTAACAGAAAAGTTCATCTCCTCAGGACTCAGTGGCGCCGCCTTCCGTACCAGAAAGAGGTGAAGTGACCCATTATTAGTTTTGAGGAATGATTGGTTAATGGCCCTTTCCCAAACTCCATTTCCCTCTCGAATCATTCCATATTCCCTTCCCTTCATGCTCTAAATCCTTCTATAACATTTGTATTATCTACAATTTATCGAATGTATTGAACGTTTAATGATCATTTAACATTTAGAATTTGTACATAAAATTCCCCCAAAAAGATGTGGCATTAAATATTCCAAATCTAATCACATTAGCTCAAGAGTTGTTTATATCGATTATTGCAGTGTAGGTTACTGGTAGTTTCTGCTGTGCATGTATCACGCCAACTATTTTTATTGCAACATTACCTGCGTCTCCAGCGATCTATATACTATTCTATGCATCAGAGAATTAGTTTCCGATATATATTTTATACCGTGGGACTCATTCTTTACACTCTCATCTGATTTTTTTTTCAACGATTTGGATTGGTCGGGATAACGACGGCGTCGCTTCTTGCAGGTCGGAGTTCGATCTCCGATGGTCCAAGTGGTTTAGCTTCATCTATTTTCTCCGTCTTACCCCAAACTCCTGATCAAATATATCTTCCAAGTGCTATAGAGTCATACCGACTCAGCGCTTTCTCCTAATAATTATCCAACCAAGCCTCAGCCAGCTTTCACCTGTTGTTGCTCAGTTTAAATTGTTGGGATTATATTTCAACCTTTCATCTCCTGCAACAGTTATGTGTCTGTGGTGTATCATGAGCTGTATTACAAGGATGTATTCGGGCAGAATTTATGTACGAAAGTACCTCCCCTCTGCCATTATTCTCATGCCGTCCAATACTATTGATCCCCTTGTCAGTATCCCTCTTCAAGATGTTCATTTGATTCTAAGGATCTCGTAAAAGCCGAATTTGTGCACTAAATACTATCACAGAATAGTATTTTTCCAAACATTTTTAATGTTGTGTATTCTATATTTTAGTTTCAAATTCTCCCATTAATATTACAATAAGCATCTTGCAAAAGGGAAATGCATTAGTAATTGTGTTTGGTTATTACGTTTTCTCCTGAGGATCTTAACTCTGGGTTTTTTGTTTTTTCTAGCGGCACTTATAATTAAATAGCGTCTCAGGAATATTTCCTCGCTGACGTATTTTATTCAAGGCTTATCACGACTATTTCCTTTGTACCTCACCTAACTACTTAAAAAAAAAACGAATATGTTAGAACGCCTTTATCAGTTGTTAAAATTTTAAAGCCAGCGATCTCTCGAGAATATTATATATACTAAAGGTCTCATTCTCTCTCTCTCTCTCTCTCTCTCTCTCTCTCTCTCTCTCTCTCTCTCTCTCTCTCTCTCTCTCTCTCTCTCTCTCTCTCTCTCTCTCTCTCTATCGATAACTGAAATGTCAGAAAGATTCATGCGAGCACTTTTCACAACTGCGTCCAACTCCCCTTCGTCACTGCAAGTTTGGAAGTCCAACTTTGGTCTTTATTTGGTTTGCCAGGAGTTATATGTTTCGGGGGAGAGTCAAAAAGAAAAAAAAAATTGACCCACCGGCACCTGCGTCCCACCAGTCATAGCTTGCAGGTGTGTATGTGAGTGTGTGTGTGTATACTCACCTAGTGTGTACTAAACTAGTGGTACTCACCTAGTTGTGCACTAAACTAGTGGTACTCACCTAGTTGTGCACTAAACTAGTGGTACTCACCTAATTGTGTATTCAACTAGTTGTGCTCACCTAGTTGTGCTTGCGGGGGTTGAGCTTTGGCTCTCTGGTCCCGCCTCTCAACCGTCAATCTACTGGTGTACAGATTCCTGAGTTTCTCGAGCTCTGTCATATCTACATTTGAAACTGTGAATGGAGTCAGCCTCCACCACATCACCTCCTAGTGCATTCCATTTACTAACTACTCTGACACTGAAAAAGTTCTTTCTAATGGCTTTGTGGCTCATTTGGGTATTCAGTTTCCACCAGTGTCTCCTTGTGCGTGTATCAATCGTGTTAAATAGTCCAGCTTTGTCAACCCTGTCAATTCCAATGAGAATTTTGTATGTGGTGATCATGTCTCCCGGAGCTCTTTTGTCTTCCAGTGACGTAAGATGCAGTTCATGCAGTCTTTCCTCATAACTCATGCCTCTTAGTTCTGAGACTAGCCTAGTGGCATACCTCTGAACTTTTTCCAATGGTCTAGTGGTTAAAGAACCAGGTACGCCAAGGTGCATAGTGCTCCTGGCTGTCTGGGTTCGAATCCTTCTGGCGTCGAATATATATATATATATATATATATATATATATATATATATATATATATATATATATATATATATATATATATATATATATATATATATATATATATATATATATATATATATATATATATATATATATATATATATATATATATATATATATATATATATATATATATATATATATATATATATATATATATATATATATATATATATATATATATATATATATATATATATATATATATATATATACATATTCGACGGGATTTATATGCGTTATGTGTGGTTTCCTCCGAGGCTAAATGTCCCCTTCTTTATATTCTATATTATTCTAATATTTCTATAATAATTTCTAATAATTCTATAATATTTCTATAATATTTCTAATAATTTTATAATATATTCTAATATTTTCTGCACCATAAGTCGAACGTTTCAATAGTTATGGTGCCACTGATACCTAAACATTGCCTGATTGTGGATGCATAGTTGAGTGATATTAATTCTCCCTGCGGCTCGGATTACCTTTGTTAATTAACATCAACCCACTTCGTTTATGACCAGCTAATTACTGTTGTTAGGGAGGAATTCCTCGCACGTGTTAGGAATGTTGATATTAAGGGAATATATTTTGTGGGGGTCATTCTGTGGCGCACTTTGTTAGCATTGGAAGGTAATTGAGGGAAAAGTGGATGGGAGGAAATGCAGAGGAAATACCAGAGAGAGAAAGAGAGAGAAGCAGAAGAGAGACAGAGAAAAAGAGAGAGAGAGAGAGAGAGAGAGAGAGGGAAGCAGAGAAGAGAGACAGAGAGAGAGAGAGAGAGAGAGAAGCAGAACAGACAGATACAGACAGACAGAGCGAGAGCGAGATATTAGGTAAAATTGAAATATAATTATGCTTTCAAAATACTCAACAACAAATGTACGGAAAATCGCGTTTTAATTCCTCTTGGGATATATTCTGTAGATTCCCTTGGCTCAGCTTTCACAAACTCATAACGTGTATTTGCATTAGAATAACATAAGGAAACTGAGCACATTTTCTTGCTGAAACTGATGTAGTTAGTAAACTAGTTAGTTGGCCTCTTGTGCCACTGGATAAACTCATCAACTAGTTGATTACTCCGGTTGATAAACTGATTAACTTGATGATCACTCTAGTGGGTAAATTGATTAACTAGTTGATTACTACGAGGTTAAACAGATCAAATGGATGATCATTCCAGTGTATAAAGTGATCAAATGGATGATCATTTCTGTGTATAAACTGATCAACTGATCAATCAATGGGTATATATATGTTACATCTCTTTGCCTACACCACTACGCCATCCAGTCTCTAAAAGAGCAGGACACCCGCAAGGAAGTCTGTGATGCTCAATCACATTTGAAATTGATGCTGTAGACGGTAACCTGGACAGTGGAATACGAACAGGAAGGAACGTAGTTGGAGTGGGACTTAGTTGAGAGCACAGATGATTAGCTCAGACCGCTCACAGCCGGTTGGTCTCTCGTTCGATACCCGGGCAAGGTGAAACATTAAGGAAGCAAAAGAAAGCTACTTAAAAGTAATTTTCTATCAATTGGAATACGTAAGAAATATGTTAATGTTTAGGGGTACTGAAGGCCAAATATGAAGCGCCTGATGACTGGAAGGTAATT